TTTAAAAGGAGAGAGCCTCCTATGGAAGAAGTGAAAAGGGCACACTGAGGGCGGAGGGAACAGCGAGGTCTCCGCGAGGGAGCACTGGGCAGGCCGCGGCCCCCTGGGCACAGAGAAGGGGCAGCGGTACCCAAACCGAGGAGCCCGGACTTAGAAGTGTGGAGCTCAGTGCGGCAGAAACTCTGTCTTTGAGGATGAGACACAGTTAGGCTCCTGCTGCCGTGTCTAAGCTGCGACAGAGGATCCCATGGACCTCTGAGGCGGGACGCTGGTGTCCCTAAGTGGGGGTGATGAGGCTGGCTCTACAGGCAGGGAAAAGACGACCTGGAATCAACTGCTGTTACTGCAGAAACTGCCACAGCCTGTGAAGAAGCAGCGCTGGGCAGGGCGGCGGGCTCAGAAAGCGAGAGCGGCCGTGGGGGAAAAGGCAGCTCTGAGGAAGAAAGCGCTCCTCTCCCTCCTCCAACCTTGCACCCCCTGCCCCCCATTACACCCACTGGCAGAGCCCGACCCAGAGCTGCTGGCAAAGCAGACATGTGTTCTGTGGGGTCCCAGCCTGAACACCACAAAGCAGAGAAGCACCAAACAGAGGGAAAAGAGCACACTGGGCCCAGAAGGTTACATGGATATAATATGCATAACATACATATTTATATATGCAAAAGGGAACCTCTTACTTGCTTAGACTTCGTAAAAAGTATGATTGTCAGACCTTAGCAAAACCTGTGAACTTTCTACTACTTCTTAAACACTGGTCAACAGAGTTTATAAATTATTCTCTTCGGTGCTTTTGAGATAACAGTAACAGACTAGAAGTGTTCCATAAAACAATTACTCTTCGTTAGGAGTTAAGTGGACTATAAATCCTTTCTCCATCTTCCCTCTGAAGTAGAACTATCCTTCCACCTGAAATGAATTTTTGTCTCTTGAGGTGCGTGAATTAGGTATTTCACCCACTGAGAGATGCCATGTAAAAATAAGACATTTTGTGTTTGCTTTAGGTTAAAATAAATTTAGACTTTAATTTGCTTCTTTCCATTCATATTATAAAAGTGATTTTTCTAGGTCACGTGAACAAAGGTAGTGCAAGAAACCGGCAACAGACCTGGAGGCGTGTGCATGTGAGTGTGCGCCCTCGCGTCAGGCGGGATCTGTGAGAAGCGGCTTCCCAAAATACAGGCGAGAGTTCGAATAACAGTGTCCATATGTTCCGTTCCTCTTCTGCCTGACCTTGGTCCATAAACTCAGCCCCAAACACATTATATCTTCAAAGGAACATGACAATGACATCCCAAATTAACACCACTCCTTTGGATTATGTTGATGACTCTCGAGTTGTTGCGCCTGTTATTATGAGTTGAGGTGGATTAAAATGGCCACAGATTCTTCTCCGTTCACCCCATCCAGAAGTGGAGTCCAGTCCCCTCCGCGCTTCTTGAATCTGCGCTGGTTTTTGAGTTGCTTTGATCAGCAGAATGAGGCAGAAGTGACAGAGTGCGACTCCCGTGCACTCTGACCTCAAGGGGCCATTTCCTCCCCTCGGCCCCCTTTCTCCCAGGCCTCAGGCCCACTGCTCTGCTTCAGTCCCTGCCTCGGGAGGATCCGTCAGGAGCTTCCCACCACTCCGGATCAGACGAGGCCCCTCCTGTCGTCCCCATGGCCTGGGACTCACTCACTTCCTGTGCATGCAAAGCAGCAGTGACATGAGATATTATCTTAGGTGGTTCCATGGCAAATATTTTATTTATTTTAATGTGGATGAGGGAAAAAACATAACCAGCACATGAAACAGATATTACTGTTTAGGTTGTTAATTTCCTTTTTAAATAAGCTATTTTCAAACAGAAGGTCTACGGTTTAAACAAATCAAGTAAGTAATCGTATAGGCTGTGTTTAGATTTGGAAAACTTTGGGGAAATTTTGCTTTAAGGCATATTGGCTCAAATCCCACTTGGTGCCAATACACAATCCAATTTACTTTCCCTCCTTTTGCCAAGAGGACCCCTCTACCTTCAAGATCTTTCCTGACTCAGCTTTCTGTCTTCTTTCCTTTCACTCAAATTGCCCATGAAAATCAAGCGACTCTCTGAAGCTTTCCTAACCGGTAGTGAGATGGAAGTTCCTGACATACGCTACTCTGCCCGGGCACTAAGTGTCACTGTTCCCACTCCTCGCTGTTTCCTCACCACATAAACACTGACGACGATGTTAGCTCTAGATTGGGTGCCAAGTCATCGCTTTTCTCTAAGACGTCCCGACTCCCATTTTCCTGCTTCTTCGCTTCTCACATCCTCCACCTCCGTGCCCTCTGCTGACCATCCTTAACCCGAATCATCGGACTTCGTCTCTTTGTTATGAGTCTCTCGTAAGCTGTTAGCCACGATCTCTTCTTCTCGTCACCCTTCTTCCTCATGATCCCTGTCTCCCCTCATCTTTATTCTTCGTTTTATTGCGTTTCTTCCCTTACATGTCTCCTGCTGGACTTGCCTTGAAACACAGAGGAAGAGGAGGTAGGAGGCTCGTAAGTCTGTTTGCTCATGTAAAGATGAGAGTCAAATATTTTAGCACTTTGAAGTCCTTTCTGCACTTGAATACTGTTTGATTTGTGTCATTTATTCCCTTAAGAACATTCTCACTTACATTACCGAAATTCTGGTCTAGAATTGATTCGATAAAGATTACCTTTAGTTCTTGAATGAGACTCTGTGTTTAACGCAAATTACATATTCCTCATAGGTCGGTATGCAAGTTCCCACGTAGATAAGGTCTTTGAAAAGTCCTTTCAAAATCGTAACGATTACCCTATGTTTTGACAGATGTACAAATGAGTTCTTTGCAGTTTAGTGTTTCAAATGACCTCTGAGTTTCTAACCTATTTGAATTTTCATGATGTTATTCTCTTGTAATTGCAAAAAACGTCCAACCCCTAAATTTGCACTTTGTTCACAATAGGGATTCCCTTGGATTTTGACTGAGTAGTTAAGGTTTGGAAATTGGAAGTGATAGAGTACCACTATGATTATCACATTCATAAAAACTCATGGACTTAGAAATACAGAGAGCTCCAGATGAAATATTAGAAAGACAGAAGAGAAAATTCAGGGTTCTATATTGTTTATATTTTATAGAGGAAAAATGTCACATAAGGATTAATCTGAAGGAATAAAGAGAATTTAGATTAGATAATCTTAATTTATATTAGCAAACATCAAATTCTTCCTTTATAATACCAAGAGTTTTAAGAGTCACATTACACTCTCTTGGAATGAAAGCTGTTTCCCCAAAATAATTTCAGTGATTCTATTACAATCTATTATCCAGAAAAAAAATGGCTTTCTTTCTTTTAAGTGACCCAAAATCAGGCAACCTTTTCCTTCAACAGAGTATAATGAAAGTTGAAAAGTTATACTCAGAAAATAAGAACAGCCTCTGTTTCTCATTACCTTACACACACAGATTTTGAATTTTATACGGTAGTGATTCATATTTGATCAAGTTTAATAATAGAATCTGATTTGGCACAATGAAGTAAATATTAATACATTTCTTTCCTAGATGTGATATTTAAAAGTAGAAATGAGACAAAATCCAGTATTAACTAGTCTAAACCTATAAGGAATTTAATGTATTTGAGTCTTATAATACACACTGAGAAGCTTAATAGAATTTTTAAATAATGCTATTCTATTCAGGAAAAGTTTTATTTTCTCAAAAGGAAATTTTTTATATGTCCAACTAGTAGGAAATAGTTAAAAATGGATGCTGATAAGGCTGGACTCGGCTGATGTTTGAATTCCTTAGTTGATTCCCCACATCTGTGAGGAACTACCGTGGCCCTACTTGAAAAGGTAAGGAGAGAGCGTCACAGCAAGAAGCACTGCCTGGGTTCACATTTCTTCTTGGCAAGAAATGCAAGTCCCGACAGCCCACTGAGCCCATCTCTAAAATGGGAACCACAGCCACACCTCCTGAGGATGGCTCTCGTTGGGGCTGGGGCGCGGTAACGGCCGCAGGCTCATGGAAATCACTCAATGACAGAGACAGTCAAGTGGTTAATATGTGTGGTTGGCCTTTTTTTTAGTAATTGAGCTCCAGGGTTAATAAGTTCCTTGTAATAGAAACATGGAAAATGGTTAAATCTAAAATCTACATAATCATGTTTCTACTTTTTCTGCTAGTTTAACATTTTTAGGGAGAGATCTATACTGTGTCAATAAGATGGAGTCAAACAGTTTTCCAGTAAAGGACTCAGGCAGCCAAATCGGTTTGGACTATTCTACCTCCTGGTTCAATCTTCCGGACTTGGGACCTCAGAGGTTTGCAGCTACAATGGATGAATTAGTACTCTTTTGGGAAAACAGTATGTGTGGGTACATTTGCTTTTACAGAGTGCCAACAAGGAGCCTCTGAATTAAATTCCATGGTAAAATACCCTTTTAAAAATTACCCATTAATATAATAGCACCAAAAAAAAAAAAAAAAAAAAAGAGAAAAATGAATCCATGAAAATGCTTGAGAGAGAGGTTACAAGTAATATATCAAGACAGCCTAGGCAGCTGGTTAAGAGCAGAAGCTTTGGATCAGAGAGAATGTGGTTCAGACCCCAGCCCGGCCACTTGTGTCCCTAAACCTGTTTTCTCATCTGTAAAATGTGGGAAATTATATCTTTTTCACTGGATGTTTTAAGGAGTAAACTAGATAAAATTTGTAAAGGGAAGAGTATTAGATACATAGTACATTTTTCCAAGCATGAAATCATTCATTTTGGTCACGCTCATGAGGGGGTTCTGAATGATTCCATTCGTTTTATATTTTCACTCACAAATGGTTTTCTGATTGGTAGGGGGTCCACATTTTGTGCACTGTAAGGCGTATTGAACTCAGAGAGTTCGTTATTTAGTGCCTATTTATATATCAGGCACTTTACATATTCGAAACAGTTTAATTTTGACAATAACCCTATTAGGGAAATTTTATCGTCCCCATTTTATGGATGAGAAAACAGAGCATCAGAGGAAATAAATAACTTTCCAAGTTCACACAGTCCCAAAGTGGCACTGTAGGAAACGGTGCCCAAGACTTCTGACACAGAAGCCTGTGTTCTTTCCACTCTATCTGATGCACATTTAAAATATAACCAGGCTTTGTGTTTGTGTGGCCTTAAGGCAGTATGATATCACTGTAACTATCAGGCACTTGGGCCAAAATGCCCGCATGAAAGAGTTTTCTTCTTAGCTGTGTCTAAACGAGCCATGGGATGTAGAAAATAAAGCGATTCTTAAATGATCCCCAACTATAGGAACATATTAATCGCACAGTCCTAACTCCCTGTTGTACCTAAGACTACATCCCGCCTCTTTCCTTTCGGCCTTTTTTTATACTCTAGACTGGTCCAGTATTTTTCTCGTCTTTTTATTTTTGTGTGCGCACAGCTTCGGTGGCCTCACGACACTGCTGCTAGCCGTGGCTTGCACTGACTGCCATCGCATGTAATTGGCATGCTGCAGAGGACTGAAAACAGCAGTCTGTGCTGATGTGGTCAACCGGCCGGGACCAAATAGTGGTAGATACCTCAGGCTGAGACTCGAAGTCATCAGTGGATTTCCTCTTCTAGAATATAAGAGGCTCTCAGAATATGTTTTCTGGATGTATCCAAAAATATTCCATCACATAACTGATAAAATGTTATATATCAATTAGGAGAAACGTTCACAGGAGATGCAATGAATGAACAGATACATGCTGCGTAGTGAAATAGGGGATTTTATGTAAGAGGAATCCATTTACTATAACCAAAAGAATCCCTCTTCACAGACCAGGAGCATCCTTCTTAAGTGTGGCAAGAGGAACGAAGCCCAAACCTCTCCTCCTACGCGGTCACTCCAAACCGCCCCGCCCGCGTACCCAATTTCTTTCTGTACGCCGATCCCTCTAGCGGACCCCTCCCAGCCGACTGCTCCAGTCTCTGCCCCTAATGCACCTGGCGTTTCCCTCCTCCCGACCTTTCCCAGTATCGTTTCTGTGGCTTCGATGTTCTCGCTCTCTCTTCTCCATCAATTCAAACCTTTTCCAATGGCGACAAAGTTCTACTCTGTAATGTTTACTACTCCCTTGGATGTTATTACTTGGTGTCTGATGTTGTGACCAATATTTGAAAGTCAACGAACTTGTCACTATTGTGCCACATGTTCTCTGAGGGCAGGGGCCACATGTGTCTTTTTAATAACACATCCTCAGTCTCTGGAAGGTAATAGGCGCTCAATAAATACGTACTGAATGTCTAAAGGAAGAAAAGAAAATATATCTGAACTCGTCTTTCAGACTTTTCCTGAGCAAACATTATACACTAGACTTTTGTACGTCTTTAGCACTGAGCTCAGTACCTTAAACAAAGTAAGAATAAAAATTGTTTTTGTTTTTTTCGATGTACTAATCTTTGGGAAGCTATGCAATTTTTTCAGGTTTTTAATAAAATTTTAATCATTTTTTTCAATCCAGTAATATTCTTGTACGAGAATGGTAATTCTGATTTAAATGAAATATATTTAAATGTACTATAATGCTTTTATTTCCTTTGCCTTTGAGGTCAAATTCGTAAACTCCTCTTTAAGTTCAAGGTCTTTGAGTTTAGTTCCTGTGTTTTCTTATATTTTATTGTGTCGGGTCTTATATTCAGGTCCTTAACCCTGGGAGGGGGTTGCGGGGAGATAGTTGGAGTAAAAGGGGCCAAATATGTGGCGACAGAAAGAAATCTAACTATGGGAGGTGAACACATGATATAAATACATATATGCTTTACTGTTAAAATGTACAGCTGAAACTTACCGATTTTGTTAACCAATGTCACCATTAAAAAATAATCAATTAAAGTAATAAGATAATAAATAAAAACAAAAATGATAAAATAAATGTACTATAATGACTTTAAAATATCCTACTCTACTTCTCCAACAAACTAAAACTCAAAGAAAATACGTTGGTCTTATCCACACCTTTAAAATTAAGGCAAATTTCTATAGTTATGTTTTTCGTAACATTCTCTGAATGCGTCATAGTCTGTGCTGCTCCTTCTTCCTTCAAATGCTGACTCCACACCCCCACCCTTTAACCCAAGATGACTGACCCATCCTTTGGGTCTCTGTTTAGACGTTACTTTCTCCGAGAATCTTCCTTGATGCCCCACTTCCACCCTTACCATGGACGTGCACAGCCCCCCATTATTCCCTTATCAAGCCGTATGACAATTACCTAATTCTCCACTAAATACAGATTCCGAAGAGCAACGGCCCTCCCTGTTTATTCTTTTACTCCCAACAGCGATAGTGCCTGGCATAAAGTTGGTGCTCAACAAATATTTACTAAGTGAATAAATTTCCTCAGAAAGTATGAAAGGTGAGTAAGGCCTATTGTTAACACTGGTTCAGTACGTAAGAGTCATCATTTTAGAAGTAACCGTTCATTTCGAAGGGACCTTAGAGAACTACTTCAAGAATTGCGCAACAACCTCTGCCATGGAGAGGGTGGGGACGGGAAGGGATTGAAACTGAGCTCACAGATGAAAGGATGCCCAGTACTGATTCGGCCCTGTGCCCAGGGGTGCGATACTGTCTTTGACAAGTTTCAGGATGCGCATGACGGTTTCCACCAGTTCCTTCGTCCCGGTCCCCACAGGACAGATGTCGAACGCAGCACTATAGTTAAGTCTATGTATCGAAGTGTCTGTTTCGTGTGTGGGAAATGAGAGCTACAGAGTACAAATACACTTGAGCGGGCAGCCAATCTACAGGCAGAACACGATGCTAGGCCTTTGATGATCTTCCGCTCTCGTTTCGGATTGAGCCTATTCGACATGACAGTGGTTCTTGGGAACCCTTTACAATCTTAAAATCCTTGAGGATCCTGAGAAGCTTTTGTTTATTTAGGTTATTTCTATCAGTATCCATCGTATTAGGAATTAAAACAGAAATTTTAAAAAGATTATGAATTGATTTAAAAATAACTATAGATCTACTATATGTTAACATAAATATTTTTTCTGTTAATAACTATATTTTCCAAAGAAAGCGATTTAGTGAGAAAAGTCACAATGTTTTACCTTTTTGCAAGTCTCTTCGATACGTGGCTCAGTGGAAGACAGCTGGACTCTCCTGCCACTCCTGTTCCAATCTGCTGCAATGTTGTTTTGCTCGAAGTAGGTCAGGAATGTCTGGATTCACACAGATACACAGCTGGAAAATGAAGGAGCATTCCAATAATCTTTTCAAGTAATTCTGGATATTCTTCTCTGATGGCTACGCCCAAACTCAACGAGTGCTGGTTTCTTAAACCTCATCGCTGCGATGCGGAACAGGAAACCACATCAGTTAACTTTCACACTCCGTTATGTGCAAATCCATTGGTCTATCTTGCACTTTGAGTGCATCTTTAACTCAGGCGAAGCACCCCGTATTTTCGGTCATTTGGAAAATACTGGTTCACTGAGTTATGCGGATATTCCAAATGTCAATACATTTTGTCATAAACATCAGAAAGCCACATTAATCAAAAAGATCACCATCTTATTAGAAAAGACTAAGTATTGGGAAGCTGTCAAGCTCATGGTGGCAAATACAAGTTTTCTAAATAATATATTTACTTGAAAGCTCAAATTTTTCATTGCAAGTAAATACTGCCAGTTGTTTACCTTGAAATGACAGGCTTACTTAATTGGTTTGGAAAAAGATGTTCGTCAAATAACCAGGTGTGAATAACCCAAATTTGTCGGTTGTTTTTTCACGTAAAACTACGCTGCGTGAACAAAGCAGACAGTGTGGCTCACGACTCAATTGCACGGCCGTCTGGACCCGAGAATCTGGCACAGAGCGGGGGCTCCGCGTGTGCCTCCCCTTTCACCACACGGAACAGGCAAAGGGCCGAAGGCTGGGGCGCAGCAGATGCACGCTTTTTCCTGCCTCCCCAGAGACGGGCTTCGGTGACACGGCCGTCCTCGGCAGTGGAGATTCCAGCGGCCGCCGGCACGGTCCGGCACCACCGCCTTGCTTCACACTCAAGTGCGAGCAGGTTTCCCACTACTGTTTTTGTACTATTAGAGCAAATGTCGATACAGCAGAAAAGGCAAACCGCCACCTTAGAATGCATGGGATACTAGCTCTGGCCTTGCGGAAGTTCCTGAAAGGGTCTCATGACCCCCCACCCCCCACAAGGGGGTCTAGGGGTCTAGGATAATACTCTGAGGATGGCTGTCTAAGACCCAGGCTCGAACTAGGAACTTCTCTTAAATAGATTTAAATTACACTCTTAATTTTAAAATAGTTTTCACTTTTCTTTTTTCACAGCTGACTAGATATTTATGCATTTCATAGTTTAAAAGTAAATTCAGATATAAATAGTCAAATCTCTGCCAAACACTTGAATATGGTATACTACCTAATCCTCACAAAACATCTGTAAGTCAGCTATAATTTGTTCCATTTTTATACTTGATAAAACACTGAAGCTCAGTGAGGTTAACCTATTTATCTCACAGCAAATAATTATCAGTCTAGAATTAAATGCAAGTCTGTCTGACTAAATAATGCATGTTCTATTCGATATGGCATGTTGCCCAAGTTTCTCAAAACACACTGAAGATATTTACATATATAAATATAAATATACACAATACCATTGGTTTTACCAATGGCATTTTTTTTTTTTTTTTGCAAAGACGGGTACATTGATACATGCAAATCCTGATGTACAAAACAGGGCTATTTTTAGGAACTCTCATAAAAACATATCCTTCACGGAGTTCTTATAGAACTTTTCCCACGGATTTGGTCCACCATTAATTGGCTGCAATAACAAGTCATCTTAATGCCTTTTGGGGTCAGTTCCTTCCTAGCAGCAGTGTTAAAACACTGTCTGAACCCCTGGGCTATCAGAGCTCCCCCCAAGCCTGTGAGATCCACAGGGCGCTGCCGCCCCCAGTGCGCGGAGGGGAGGACGGACCCCCGAGAACCTCTCGGACTCCTCAGCCTTCCCCTCCCTGCCCCGCTCCCTGTTAGCATCGCACAACTCACTCTGGGTGTCTCGCGTTAAGAAAATCAGCTGTATACTACGAAAAAACGCTTTTCTCCTAACCCTCTCTCCTCATGCTCCAGGCCGGACGCTAGGTGAAGGAGCTTCTGTTCCCTGTCCCCAGGGTGCCACGTCCTGCTATTCCCTTCCTGATCCCTCACGCAGAGACCAGAAACCACAGTTGCTCACGGCTCTTCAGTCCAGTGGTCTGAGCGCGGCCACAGTGCGCCCTGGTCGCCTGTCCCTCCTCCCCGGCTCCATCAGCCCTGCTCTCTGCTCAGCCCCTCCTCGTTCTCTGGCCGCCATCTTTCCTTCACAGGCTCTGCCTCCTCCACGGCCCCAGCCCCAGCACGCGGCCGACTTCCGATGGGGCTCCCCGCTCGCACCTGCTCTCGCAGGGACTCTCCTTCCAGCTCCTACATGACGCTCGCTCAGACGTCCCACGTGCACACCCAACTCAACAGACCTCAGGACGTCCCGAAGCCACCCCTGTGCTGTTTCTCTCGGCAAGGGCGCCGTCGCCTGCCTTCTTGCCCCCGCCAGAAACCCGGAGGTGGGTCTAGACCGCGGCCCCCGCCGTAAGCAGTCAGTCACCAGGCCCTGCCTGTTGTATTTCTTCACATCTCTCCAGCTGTCCCAACCTCCCAACCGGCTCTCCGGCTGCCTTGGTTCAGCCCTAAGTTTTTCCTCTGGAAATTACCTCCTCACTGCTGTCTCCTCCCTATTTGTCTCCGCACTCACACCACACGTAACTTTCTAAACTCATATCCGATGACATCTGAACACCTTAGAATCTGCCCTTGTTTAAAACCCTTAATAGTTTTCCAACCACGTACCACCTTCAGGAACCTTCCCGTTCTCCGCCCGTAGAGCCTGGTGTGGGCTGGCCTTGCTTAGTCAGCTGCAGTCCCGCCACACCTAACTTCGCTCCGTCCGGGGACTCGAGGTGCTTTTTGACCCCTTCCTAACCTTTTCGCTTGCTTCTCTGTGGAGTGGCCCTTTCTCTTCTCCATTCTTCGGGACTCTGCACAGGGGGCTGGCTGCTCCCTTTCCCATGCTCCCGCAAGACAGGTGAAAACATCGATTACAGCGTCGATCAACTTTTCATGGATGTCTCTATCTCCCCACCAGGCTGCCAGCTCCTTAAAGGTGAGCACGATGTCTTACCTTGAAATCTCAGGACCGAGACAGATGTGGTACACAGCAGGCACTTAATGAATGTTAATGAATGCCTGATGACCTGCTGTGGGTCATATCATAAGGGCAAGGAGTCACTTCTCCAGATCTTCTGGGCGAACATCCAGAAATCCCTTTGGCTTGCCTCATTGTCCCATCTGCAAAAAGTAAGTTTGCACAGTGATCTCAATGACCCCGTTAGCGTCTAGGAATTCTACGGCTTTTACAAAACAATCCTGTGGAGTATGAACAGTTTCATAAATTCACCTACTGTGGTATTCTCATCTAGGAGCCGCCAAGCTTCAGGAGCCGCATCAGACCGCACTCTGTGACCAGATGTTTAACAAAAAGACCATAGTTTTAATACGATTTTGGTAGGGTTGATTTTCATCTTATTTATCTACATTTCACAGTGGCAATGAGAAGAGAGTAAGTATCTTTCATGTTTTCAGTACTGACACTACATCTTAATAAACTATATATTCTGAGAATTTAAAATTTGAGAGTCTAAAAACCATGTTTGTTGGAAAGTAGGTTCGCAGTTGCAAAAATGAGATCACTAAATCATTCGATCTTTTTTTTTTTCTTCGGCTTTCCTATGTCTAGGCCAGCGTGCCAATTAGGTCACTTCTTACCATAATTACCAAGTCAGCCTTAATGGCTTCACACCCTCTGCTCCTCTCTCACTGGTCCTGTAGGGCCGCTTTTCAATGGTTAAAACCGGCAGTGCGGTGTGGCGGGCAGGCGGACGGGGACCGAGGGACACGGAGGCACAGCGTGCACGCTCAGCCTTTAGCCTCCAGCCTTCTCCAGTCAGCTTGTCTACCCTCCTTGCGCCCACATCAACCCGGAGAGCCCCTCATTGTGCGCCCGGGTCTCCCGGACGGGGCGACGGTCCCGCGAACGCATTCCCCTGGGTTTCGTGGCTTGGAGGGGGCTGCGATCTCCCTCCCTGGCTGGCAGGAGGTAAGGACAGCGGTGTGCCCCGCGATGCCGCCCGCGAGGGTGCGGGTGTGGGAGAGCGGAGCCGCGGGCCGTGTGTCTGTGTGTGTTTGTGTGTGTCTGAGTGTGTGTGTCTGTGTGATTGTGAGTGTATGTGTGTGTGTATGCGTGTCTGTGAGTGTGAGTCTGTGTCTGTGATTGTGAGTGTATGGGGTCTGTGATTGTATGTGTGTCTGTGTGTGTCTGTGTGTCTGAGTGTGTCTGTAATTGTGTGTGAGTCTGTGTGTCTGTGAGTGTGTATGGGGTCTGTGATTGTGTGCGTGTCTGTGTGTGTGTGTCTGAGTGTGTCTGTAATTGTGTGTGTGTCTGTGTGGGTCTCTGATTGTGCGAGTGTGTCTGTGAGTGTGTATGTTTCTGAGTGTGTGTGTGTCTGTGATTGTGCGAGTGTGTCTGTGAGTGTATATATGTCTGAGTGTGTGTGTCTGTGAGTGATTGTGTGAGTGTGTCTGTGATTGTGTGAGTGTGTCTGTGTGTAGGTTTCTGAGTGTGTGTGTCTGTGAGTGATTGTGTGTGTCTGTGATTGTGAGTGTGTCTGTGTGTGTCTGTGATTGTGAGTGTGTCTGTGTGTAGGTGTCTGAGTGTGTGTGAGTGTGTCAAGTAATACTGGACACTTTTGGAGAATGGCACTAGTTCATGATTCTTTTTGTATGCAAAATATACTCAGCCCATGCCAAGGTTGACAATCCAACCCCAAAGTTCTTTCATCGTGTCACAGTATGAAGCTCAAAGTCTGGGAACGTTACTTGCTACCCATGAGTTACTGTAATTTC